TTGTTTCCTTTCTTTCCTTTCTCTGAGTATGGGTTAAGCTTCTGCTTTGTGTCTAACATTATACTGAGCATTGTAGTAAAATAAATGGAGTTGTTTGGCCTGGCCCTATTCTTATAGAACTAACTGGATCTAGAGTAACCAAAATTCTACCATGTTTTTATTTAACCCACAGCTACACCTATAAAGGAAACCTGTGGGTTGATTTATGGTTCTCTCCCAGCCATCTTTCCTCCCTCCCTCCCTCTCTCCCTCCTTTCACCCACCAACCCATTCACCCTCCCTCCTTTCTTCCTTCCCTCCCATCCACCCACTCATCCATCATCCATCCATCCCTTCATCCATCCATCTTATCATTATTCAACATGCATTCACTAAGTGTCTGGTATGTATATATGAACTGATCATGGGGAAATGAAAAAGATAATCCTTGCTCTCTAGATGCTCATTGCCTTCTCTTTTTTTAAATAAAGTTTTTATTTTGGAATAATTTTAGATTTATAGAAAAGTTTAAAATACAGTGCAGAGAGGGTTCCCATACACTCTCACCCAGTTTCAGTTTTCTCTAATGTTATCCCCTTACAATACCATGGTACCTGAGAAACCAGCATTGGTGGATTACTATTACCTAAACTCTAGACTTTATTCACATTTTCACCAGTTTTTCCCACAATGTCTTCTTTCTGTTCCAGGAGCCATTCCAGGAGACTACATTGCCTTTTGTTGTCATGTCTCCTTAGTCTCCCCTGGTCTGTAGCAATTCCTCAGACTTTCCTTGTTTTTGTTGACCTTGACAGTTTTGAAGAGTACTAGACAGTTATTTTGGTAGAATTCTCCTTAATTTGGGTTTGTCTGATGTTTTCTTATGATTAGACTGGGGTTATGGGTTTTTGGAAGGAATGACACTAAAGGTGAGGTGCCCTGGTCGTCGCATCATATTGGGGGTGCCTGATACTCACATGGCATCCCTGGTGATGTTAAACTTGATCATGTGGTTATGGTAGCGTTTGCCAGGTTTCTCCATTGTGAAGTTACTGTTTTTTCTTTGGGAGTGGGTCACTAAGTCCAGCCGCCTCTCAAGGAGGAGAAGGATTAAGCTCTACTCCTGGAAGGGGCAGTATGTGTAGATACTGTTTAGAAATCTTCTGTAAAGAAGACTTGTCTCTTCATCTTCGTATTTTTATTTATCCCATTATTTATTTATAACAGTATGGACTCACAAGTGTTTATTTTATACTTTGGGTTTTAATCCAATCCTGTGTTATTTATTTGCATTGCTCAAATTGTTCTAGCCTTGGCCATTGAATGCTGTTTCACTTGGTTTTCTGGTGTCCCCTTGGCCTGGCTCCATGCCTTTGTTTGTTGAGCACTTATTGCTGCAGGCTCATCTTGTATTTTCCCTGCCTCAGCCCTAGGATTAGCCATGTGTTCAAGGAGCCCTGATTCCTTTTATTAGAGAATGGTATTTAGAAATTAAGATCTGGGTGCTGCATGCTCATTGTCTTTTGAAAAGAAGAAGAAAAAGTAAAAAATGTTATGTATAATGTACAAATTGCTATGGAATCACAGCAGACAGAGTGACTATTCCCACCAAAGGGAGTCTTCACTGAAGAAATGGTATTTGAAGTTGAATAGTTTTCTAGATAGTCAGCGTTGAGGGGGTTGGAGGGGGCCAGAGTGGGAGGAAATACATATTAGCAATATCAAGATCATCTGACTTTTTAGTTTGATCTGACTGTAGACTTACAGGTAGTGGCCCTTCTTTGATTTTCTCATTACATAAACGCTAGCAATTTTCACATATTGTGTTTCTTTATGAGAGGATGTTCTCTGTGTGAGCCCTGACAGTTGACTGTCTTCCCTCCCTGATATTTTCCTTGCAATCTTTCTTCCTTCTAAATGTATCTAGTTCCTACTGTGCCAGGCCTACTGCAAGGTATGGTGGGGGTGCAGAGAAGAATTTGATAGCCCCTCCATCCAGAAGTCCTGTGGTCTGGTGTGAGATCCTTTTGCTTTCTTCTCTTCTCTCTAGCCCTTCATCACGTGTCTAATTGTTAATGTTTTTGCAGAATAGCATAAAAAGGAAGAGAAGGTCTTAGCAGTGTCAGTACTGTGAACCTGACATGATGCTTGACTCACTCAGAAAGTCTTTTTTCTTCACAGATAACAGTTGGTGTATATGATCCCTGTAACTTAGCCCAGCATCCTGGATGGCCTTTGAGGAATCTTTTGGTCCTAGCAGCCCACCGATGGTATTTACATGTGTGTGTCTGTGTCTGTCTGTCTGTCTCTGTCAATCTGTTTTTGACATTGTGTCTGCCTCTGTCTGTGTCTCTTTTTTCCCATATGTGTTTTTTCATTTCTGGCATAGAAACCAGATTATAAATCAATTCATCAGTCATGATCCAATTTCCATCAATGGTAAACCCCTAAGCAGGTGTATTATGGAGCTGCAGACTCTGACCATACTACACTAAAGACATTTCAGAGTAGGGTAGGGTGAGCAGCCAGAGGTCCCAAGCCAGAAATTCTCCCACCTCTCCCTCCAGCTGTCTGGGTCACTCTCAGATAGGATTTTCCTACTGCTACCATCTTCCTTTTCTCCTCGCCCTAAAATAATGAAAACAGGTTATCTAAGAGGTCAGTATACATTTAAAAAGATGCTCAACATCATTAGTCATCATGGACATGAAATGTAATGAGATTCTACTCAGTAATAGAGATAATGAGGTACCATGCTGAGATACTACTACATGCTTACCAAATGACTTGAAAAAGATGACAGTACCAAGTGTTGTCAAGATGTGAATCAGCTGGAACCCTCAAACTGCTCAAAAACTGGCAGCATCCACCAAAGTTAAAACTATCTATGGCTCAACAGTTTCTTTCCCAGGTAGATAATGCAGAGAAATGTGCACTCAGATATAAGCAAAACACATACGCAGGGATGTTTATAGCAGCATTATTCTTTATAATCAAACACCGGGAATAACCCAGATGTCCTTCAACAGTGAAATGGTTAATAAATTGTGGCATATTCATTGCGACGGAATGTGATGTCGTAGTAAATCTGAGTGAACTGCTGATGCACGTGTCAACACAGAGGCCATGATGTGGAGTGAAAATAAGCTGGCCCTTAAGAGAATATGCCCTCTCTGATTCCTTCCATGTAAACATCAGAACAGGAAAAACCCAGTAATGGACTTAGACATTAGAGTAGTAGTTACTCTTGATAGGGTGGCCAGTGAGTGCGAGAAGGCATGATATAAGCTCCTGTATATTTAGGATTTGTGTACTTGTCTTTCTATCTGTTTTACTTACATAAAAATGCTTTAAAAAAATGAAGATAGCTTAATTATAGATTGTCCCCGGAGAGAGAATGGTTAACACTTGCTTATCCAGGTAGTGTGACTGGAGAGTACACACAGGCTTGCTAACTACTCCTGACTGAGGTGCTGTTTCATAGAATGTGAGTTCAGATAGGAGAAGGGGAATCAGGAGAACCCATGTATGTCTTAGGGGTTCTTTTTAATGTCTTGTAAGCTTTTTTCCCCTGTATTTAAGATGCATTTGTCAGAATTATTTATTTGTAATGTGATTGTTATATAAACTTCACTAAGAAATCACAGCCAATTCATTATTCAGTCTCTAAGCATTTGGACAAAGGAAAGCATACGTGGACGTGTTCAAAATCTCTCAGAGGTTAAGGCCGTACCCCAAGAGTGTCAAGGAGGCATAATTAACGATGAATTGAATACTTTCCAACTGGTTTTGCTGAAGCTCTTATGTGAGCTCTTTCTTTCCCTTCCTTAAAAAAAAAAAAAATGAATTAATTCAAACCTGGGGCCTGACATCAGGAGTAGCAGTTTCCAGTCTGTTGAAGTCCTCTGCTTCCGGGACCGCACCATGCAGGGGGTGAGAGACATTGCCCACAGCATCATCTTCGAAGTGAAGCTTCCAGAAATGGCATTTAGCCCAGGTAATTTGCCGGTCTTTGAGAATGCATATAATTATCATTTATCAGAAACTGAAGCAAGTTTAACTTTCCTTTCTTCCCTTCACAATGGCAGCAGAAGGTAGTGAAAAGTACAGCTCCTACCTCTTTGCCCATGGGAACACCTCCCTTGAACAGAGGGCACACTCTGCTATTCAGAAAGGAACAAAGGCAAAGATTGTCCTCAGGAAATTTCCTCCAGGCCTTTTTTTTTTTTTTCCCAGTCTTGAGATTTCTCCCCAGCCCCCCCAGTTTTTGTTTCACATAAAATCTTTATTCCTGACCTTTCTTACAGGAAGAACAAAATATTAATACACTTACATATTTATTTGTTATATAAGGTTATGTGTGATCTTTCTCTCCATATAGTAAATCAGTCAGCAAAAGTGCCATTTCTCCTTCCACATTTAATATTCTTCACTAGATCCTGTGGGGTAGACATCAGCTGTTATCTCCATTTCATAAGTTAGGAAACTTGGGCTCACAGATATTTTATAGATGTGTGTGTATGTGAACATACATTATGTATTTATATACATGTTACAAAGATAGAATACATACTCAAATTCGAGTAAAATAAAGATAATAAAACCTGCCTCATGGAGTCTCCCTTAGGATGAATGTGTGTCCTGTGTAAAAGACAGCATACAATGTCTGGCATATTATAGTCATTTAATAAATGCTAATTTATGTTAATTTCCTATCTTACACAAAGCCCTGCACGCTCCAAAACGATCCCTCAGATTTCTATGACTTACATGCTTTTCAGGGTACCTTTACACACATTGTTTAATTTGCTCTTCACCACATCTGCATTGTTCCAAGCACATTGCTTTCTTTCTTCTGGGGGTTCTATGCCTCAGAGTGTGTGTGTGTGTGTGTGTGTGTGTTGGGGAAAGCAGTGTTACCATCTCTTCTGAGATGTCATTTCTAGAGTGAAGTTAAAAGGTTTCAGGATTGGCTCTGAGCAGATTTTATCAGTGATTCTTCGCTGCAGCACTGATAAATGTCTTAAATAGATTTCTTGGAGAGATTAACAGAGGATTTGGCTTGGTTAGGCAAAGAAGGCTATAGGTTAAGTTGAGAGCCCTAAGAAATCCACTGCTTCCCTGCTGTGTTTAGATCCATGCATTTGATTTAGCACCCTCTTCTGGCACATTCTAAAATAGCTTCCATGTGCTGTTAACTGAGGTGCCATACCTGCATGTTAAGCCACAATTGTAGATAGTTCTAGGGGAATGGGTGAGTTAACTAGCAAGTGATATGTGCCTGGTCTGTGCCTGGTAGGCCACCACGTGCCTTCCACACTTCCTCGCTCACTTAATCCTGCCAGCTCCTATAGAGGAGGCACTTTTGTTTCCATCTTTATGATAAAGTCATTGCATGATTCTTCCTTCACAGCCCCAACAATCTTGCTGATGCTTGGTGAAGCTGGCAAAGCCTGGAAACATTGCACATTTCCCTTTTGGAAAAGATGCTTCCTATCACCCAATAAATGCCTTCAATACATCTTCTTTATGCTTGATAGTGAGTGTAGATTATTTAGTTTAGGAAAGGCAAATTTTCTTTTTTTCATGTAAATTAATGTTTTCCCTCTTAGCTGTAAATAAAACTTTAAATAAAACCTGGTAAAGAGTTATTCTGTATCATAGTATGAAATGAAAGCTATTGATGTGGTAGTATTTTTTATTATTTTGAAGACAACCCATAATTGCAATGACATTGGCATAAGAAGTATAATTTTAATCATCTTTTGTTCCTCGTGGTGCAAAGAGCCCACTGTCCATTGCTGATACAAAAAGTGTTCTGGCATCCAGCCGAGGGAGGCAGCAGACTCTGCTGTGAGTGGGACATTCTTCATTTTAATTCCTGTCCTTGATGTTCTCCTTCTGCTTGTTCAGCTGTGGGAAAACAAGACCTAATTTTCTCCTAAAAATATTTTTCTATTAATTTGGGGCACGTCTTATGGATGTAGTTTATATAGAGGCAGATAGGATAGATTAAATACTATTGATAAATTACATTTTTTCATTGTTAATAAGCTTAAAGTATATCTAATTTTCTTAGAAATGGCTGTAACGTTTTGAGTACAGAGATGTTTTCGTTGGAAATGAAATTTTGTTCTCTGACTTCTTATCTGTAAAGGAGAAAGCTTAGGTCAGAGTTGTTAGTTGCGGTACTAGACTGTGGTTCTGAAGTTCTTTCAAGTTTTTGCCTATATATTTGAGAAGTATTTTTTTATTTAATGTAAGAATACTTAAGGAAAACAAACAAAACATGAATTTAGTAATATGTCTGAACTCCTTTTCCCAGAAAAAAAATTTTGAACTCTTAACTACTATAAGAACTCATCTTTTATATCATTTTTACTTTTTGTTACATTAAAAAAAAAAAGGACCACATCAGAGTGCCTGAGTTAAAATGGGAAGGGACATTTGTATTCTGGCTCCTTGCTGTGAGTGATGTCTCCAGCCATAGCTTTCCAGGATAACTGACCCCAAGGTTTTCCATTGGTCGTCCTATCCCAGAAAGGAAAGATCGCGTTAAGAAAATCTACACCTTCTAGGTCCTATAATTATATTGCGCAATACTATTTTAAAAAACAGAGGTCAAAAGCTAAAAAGTTCCCAAGGAAAGAAAAATAGAAGTGCTGACAGCAATCTAAAAGTAGGAGAATGGCCAAAGAACACCAACATACAAATTAGAAACATACAGTTCTTCCCAGTAGTCCTATACATTTTTAAGTCAGGGAGTTTCTGTTCCTTCAGAGACTGTTACTTAAGGCAGACATTGGAGGGGATGCTAGCAGCATAGGTTGTGGCCAAATGAATTCCCTGATAAGGAGTTGAGGCTTTATTGTGAATTTCAGGTATTTGGTAAGAATGGGAGAGTGGCAGAGGTCCTAAGATGGGAGGAATGTAAGAGAGGCCCCTATTAGCAGGTTTCCACCAAGGAAGTCAGATTACCATTAAGCTGAGAAAGTAGCAGGACTATTCTAGAAAGCAAGTGAGACACTTAAGAGGATTTCATAATAGTAGAATAGAGCAACTACGGGACCCTTACCCTCTCAGAGCATCACACAGAACTGGAATTGGAAGTTCAGAGGCACCCATAGCAGAGGTTAAAAGAGGTTAGTGGAGAAAAGAGAAGTCGGGGAAGGGGAAGGTCTGAATGGATAAGGATAAACTTAAAGGAGAGGGCAGCTTAACAGAGGGACAGGCTAGGTACGCAGTGACAGTGTTGAGAGGCTGAGCAGAGGGACATGGTAAGGATGAAGAACAAGAAGGAGGAACTGAACACAGAGGTTCAAAGCCTGGTGGGAACTTCAGCAGAAAAGTGCGGTCACACTAGCTGGGGTTCCTTGGAGAGAGCGCCCTCCACAGGGTTCTACCTGTATACCTGTATCCCAGAGAGGATTGTCGTATTTTGAGCAACTGCCAGGAACTGGGGAAGTGGAGGCAACTCAGGCCAGAGTTGAGGGCTATTTCAGAAGCCCCTCTCCAGGAAAACCATGCTCAGGTCCGGTGGTCTCCAAGTGTGCGGGTAGTTGAGGGAGATGGTGAGCAACTTAGCAAGTACGTGCAAATTCAGGCCCTGGAGCCTCTGTGAGAAAGAAGTGAACTGAAAGCTTATTGATGTGTGGTCCATCTTGCTACTTACTTGTTTTTATTCTTCCCTCCTTCGTTCAACTCACTATTTTATTTGCCTTAAGATTGTCCCAAAGCAGTTGGATGGGAAAAAAACCAGAAAGGCGGCATGGGACCGAGGATGGTGAACCTCAGTGAATGTATGGACCCTAAAAGGTATATTTTGGAAGCTGTTTTCTCCACTGGGGCCATTTATCACCAGGACACACAGCACATTCTGTCAGGCCAGCCGCATTGCTCAGCTCAGCACAGGGGGTGCTGTTCACGTTGTTGAGTGTTCCTCCACTCGTCGCTGCCTGACTCTTGATTTAAGTGTGGTTGTGAGAACTAATACCACTGATGGAGATTCGGAAGGGTACACAGTTCATCTACTCTTCTAGACATTATAAATTTTGTTCTTGCTTTGAGCTGAGACTCTCAAACCTAGTTAGTACAGATACCTACTAACATTTAGTCCTTTATTCATGGCCCTTTAATTTTTCCTATTAGCCTATACTGAAGGACATTTTAAGAAATATTTCATGGGAACCAACACTGTATTTAAGGGATGATATAAGTGCACCCTTTTTTGAGGGGACGTGGAAAATATTTCTTGGTTTTCAGTATTAGGGAAAACTTTCCTCTTAAGTAGCTGGTGTCTTTCTATTTATAGATACAGTGACTCCTATAAGTGGTCATGTTTGCATTTTCACCTTGGCTGCTAGGGGCTCAGTATCATTCGTGGCCTATCACTAGCAATTGCAGTGGTCTACACTGGCACAAATTGTGTGCCATTTCTCCTCCCTATTGCCCTAAAGCTCCATCTTATTTTCCCTTTGATCCCATTTTGCTCAGGATTTGTTCCCCATTTTCTTATTCGGATGCTTTCTATCTTTTAAGGATAAGATGGGGGCATAAATGAGTGACTGAATGAATAAATAATTCTGTCATTTTCTAGGTTAGCTGAGTCATCAGTGGATTTAAATCTCAAATTGATGTGTTGGAGATTGGTCCCCACTTTGGACTTAGACAAGGTTGTGTCTGTCAAGTGTCTGCTGCTTGGAGCTGGCACCTTGGGTTGTAATGTAGCTAGGACATTGATGGTAAGTTGGTGGAGGCCAGATGTACCTCTGAAGCTGTGGCTTCTTTTCTTATTTTGCTGTACCAGATTGCCTTCCACCTCCCGCATTCCCCTTCCCTCCCCCCCTCTTCTTCCCTCCCTCTCTCCCTTCCTTTTTTCTTTTCCCAGTTATCTTTTTAACTATAAAAGGAACTCATACTTTTATTATAAAGTAGAAATAGAAGGTCTTTCTCCACCCCCATCTCAAGTCCCATTTCCCAAAATTAAGAAGACTTCCTAGATTAGTACACAATATCATATTCCTTGAAGTTTTCATAGGCAGATGCGAACATAGAGAGGGACATTTGTCATCTTTGCTGTCACTTGTTTACAAAAATTGGATTATAGTATACTGTCTGTAACAGGTTTTTAGTCTTAACAGAATGTGTGTTCCATATAATTATACATAGTATTTTGTTGTATGACTGTGTCCTCAATTTTTTTCCACCTCAGCATATTTTTTTGAGATGCTGTTGAAATGAACATTTTTATATCTTTACATATGTATAGGATTATTTCTTTAGGAAAAAAGGCCTAAAAGTGGAATTATTATTTTAGAGAGAATGTACTATGTGTGTGTGTATGTGTATATATATGCAAACACACACACACACACACACACACACGTACAATGTATACTATGTACAATATGTTTATATGGGTTTTTTTCAAGCTAAATTACCTTCCAAAAACATTTTACTAGTCTGTACTTTTAGAAACATGTACAAAACAGAGCTTTTTAATTTGCATTTCTTTTATTAGTGAGAGTAAGTCTTTAATTTCATTTCTTTTGTGAATTTTATTTCTCTTATTCATCTAAATTTTAAAATTAATTGACACAAAATACATATGGTATTCTCTTAGCATCTTTAAAACTCTCTATCTTTTTAAAAAATATTTCCTCATTCCTAAGGTTGCATGTTTATGTTTTCTCTTTTTTTCTCTTATTCAGACTTGCCAGAGAAGCTTGTCTATTTTATCAGTCTTTTGGGAGGACTAACGCCTTGATTTATTTATTAGTTCTATAGTTTTTGGTTTTGTTTTGCTTTTAGATTCATTACTATCTACTTTTATCTTCATTAATATCTTCCTCTTTTGTGGAATCTATTTTATTGTTCTTTATCTGGCTTCCAGAATTGGTGCTTAGGTTTTCTTAACATTTTTAAAAATTATAAAGGCAGTGGAAACCTGTAGAAAATTTGTTAAGTGTTAGAGTTATAAAGCAGGAAAAGAAGATACCCATTTTCCTACCACTTTTTCACTTATTTCCTTTAATGTTTGTTAAATATATATTTAAAAATCTTATTTATGATAATGTCCCACACTTTTATCTATTAACATTGTAGACACTTTCTCATGTAATTAAAAATTATGCCTATTGTTTTTAATGACTATAGAATATACCTTTTATATGATGAAATATACTGTTCTGAGACATTCCCCTAGTGATATACTGTTCTCAGACATTCCCCTAATGTAGGCGTTATTCTTTTTATTAAATATTTATTTATTTATTATTTATTAAATAAAACTATTTATTAAAATATTGTTTCCAGTATTTTACAACTGTAAATTATGTTGTGGAACATTTTTGTTAATATTTCAGATTACTTCCTAGAATAGATTGCTGGAAGTATTTACTGAGGATAGATTGCTGCAAATAGGCCAAAAGATAGGAACATTTGAAAGACTGTAGAAACATATTGCCAAATTGCTTTCCAGAAAGATTACATCAGTTTACATTCTCAACCCGTACAATAGCTTTTCATCACCACATCCTCACCAGCATCGAGTGTTACAGTCTTCTTTAATCTTTGCAGATTAGCCATTTAAACATTCCAGGAAGCCAAAAGTTGAGTTCGAATGCCCCCTGCATGTGGCTAACCTATGGCCTGTTTGTAATTTACCTGGCTTTCTTCCCACTGCCTAGCTTCTTCCCAGACTGCCTTCCTTGCTGTCCACTCAGCATTGCTTTAAGGAATGTAAAAATACTTCAGAAATAAATGTCCCCAAACCAAGCACAAGTGACTTTTAGATTTTTCATACCTTTATTCTGCCTCCATGGTAGATTGCTTTGCTGGTAAAAGTCACTTACAAAACTAGGTGAGTAGACCAAAGTTTACCAGTGGGCTTTCAAAAAAGATAACCTAAACTATGCTTTTGAAAGGATGGATTCTGGCCTGTCCTTCTCAACCCTGAAAATGAATCTTGGGTTCTTGTTGACTGTCCCCTTGGAACCATCAGTCTAATTGAGTTTCTGAGTCCCTAATGGAAAGATATTGAAATAAGAGAGCAGAATCAGTTTCGTAGCCAGTCATGGCAGGGCTTCTCTTAGATCACTATGCTTTTTTATGATCTGCTAAAATACACACTGCACCTCACCCTCCAAAAAATAGGAATCTTCATTTGGTTGCAACTCTGTGGATCTAATTCCTTCCCCACCATTAACCAGATCTATGACCTTAAGTGATTTCCAGGCTACTCTTGCCGTCTCTATAGAACAAAATAATTGGACAAAGGATGTTAAAGATTCCATCTCACTTTAAAATTTTGTGGTTCTATAAGACTTTATAGGAGTTATAATTGAAGCATATGAAATCATGCAAATTATTTCTGAGAATATAGAATTGTCCCCTGCATTACCGAATATTAATAAGGCCTTTACATCTTGAAGAAGTAGTACAAAATCTTCTATGATGTTATACAATGGGGAATAACCCATAAGTCATTTTTCTGAGGAGTTAATTCAGGCTTTAAGTGAGTTTTAATCTGAGCTATTATTTATACTTAATTATTCATTAAGGGAAAGCAAGGACATTTAGGGGCTTACTGCTAATCCTTCTAAGATAGCAACATAGACAATTCTTATGGGACTCACCTCCAAATCTTTCTCTGGTGCCACTGTCAAAAATAATGAGTTATTAGTCAGACCCACTCTGACATTTCTTAGTCTCATTACTGCAGAAAACCAGGCACCCGGTATATAATTATTTTGTCTTTTAAAGGAAGTTGACCCTCGATCAGAAACTGAATTTGCACAATTCATTTTCTGAAGTTTCCTGTATTTGAGGTTCCCAAGCTGATCTAAAGCAAAACCTCTTTTAGGGATTTAAGAGAGATACTCCGTGACATGTTCATCAGAAACACACCATGATCTCTTGTTTCCATGCAGGGTTGGGGCGTCAGACACATCACATTTGTGGACAATGCCAATATCTCCTACTCCAATCCTGTGAGGCAGCCTCTCTATGAATTTGAAGATTGCCTCGCAGGTGGTAAGCCCAAGGCCCTGGCTGCAGCAGACCGGCTTCAGAAAATATTCCCCGGAGTGGTATGTTGATGCTGTTTGAGGATGTCAGAGCTTGTCTCCTATAGCTTCCCACAATTAATCTTGGGGAATGAGGCCCTGTCGTATTGGTAAAAGAGAGTTGGATATAGGCGGCTGGGTGGCTCAGTTGGTTAAGCGACTGCCTTTGGCTCAGGTCATGATCCTGGAGTCCCGGGATCGAGTCCCATATTGGGCTTCCTGCTCAGCGGGGAGTCTGCTTCTCCCTCTGACCCTCTTCCCTCTTGTGCTCTCTGCCTCTCATTCTCTCTCTCTCAAATAAATAAATAAAATCTTTAAAAAAAAAGAAAAAGTTGGATGTTTGTTACTTACTACCCAGGACTTCATGATATGACCAAGCCTCTCTTTCCTATTTGCAGAGATGGGCACTGAAAAACAAAGCAAAACTCTCATCTATTATTGTGAAAATAAAATGAAAAATTTATGAAAAAATGTTTTTGTAAGTTGCAAAGCATTATCTGAGTCTAAGTTGAGGAATTTGGGAGTGTGCATATTTTTATATACTGCCTTATTCCAAAGGTATTCTTGGTAGCTCAGGTATAGGATATTCTTTTTCCTTCATCACCAGAATACTTAATAGTTACTTAGTACAGGTTTATGAAATTAAATTGAATGTAGTCTGTGCAGAATGAAGATCTGGCTAAATATTCAGCTTTTTACTCGAGCTGCTGCTTGTTTCTGAGTTGCATTGTTTACTTTAAAAACACCAGATAATAAGAGACAAGTCATTCAGCTCATTTGATTCAAAATCTTGCCAGTTTTTTTTTTTTAGGTCATCCACAAAAGAAAATGTGCATCTTGCATGCGTAATCAGTTTATCTGGCAGAAGTTAGATGTCTCCAAAGCATCTGCTAACACTTAAAGTGCCACAAGAGGCTCTCAGCGCTACCTAAAAAAAAAAGCTCCCGTTCTCAAAGTTTTTCTGTTTAATTACTCAGTATTAGATTCATTCATTTTAGTTCTTGCTTTAAAAGAAGCAATGTTGTTGGTTTTGTCCATTTCACCAGTGATCCAGGGGAACATCATCTATTGGGTCTAATTCAACACTGTTGATTGAGCACCCACTATGTCCCCAGCTAGATGCTGAAGGCCAAAAGAAATAAGAATGTTACAACCCTGTCATATTAGTTAGGTTTCTGCTACATTATTGCATGTCACACAATCCTCACATCTCAGTGTCTTATTATTATAAGCATTTATCTTTTTTTTAAAGATTTTATTTATTTATTTGATAACGAGAGAACACAAGCAGGGGGAGCAGTAGAGGGAGAGGGAGAAGCAGGCTCCCCGTGGAGTAGGGAGCCCGATGCGGGGTTTGATCCCAGGACCCTGGGATCATGACCTGAGCCGAAGGCAGACACTGAACCATCTGAGCCACCCAGCATTTATCTCACACTCACAGGTCTGCAGATTGGCTGTAGCTTAGCTGCTGGGCTAGGCTGGACTCCAGGCTTTAAATCAGGTTCCAATCTGTGCTGTGTGTCATTGTTTTAAAATCTGGGTTCAGGGAGCAACAGTCATCTAGGTCATGCTCTTCTTATGGTAGAAGGTGGAAGTGTAAAAGGATTGGTGAAAACTTATTATACCTCTAAAAGTCTCAGCTCACCAGTGACACAGTGCAGCATTCTCCATCCCCATGCCAAAGCCAGTCACAGGGCCAAGCCCAAAGTCAGTGGGGTTGGACAGTCTACTCTGCCTTCCTAGTGGAGGTCCTGCAAAGTCATGTGGCAAAGGGTGAAGACATTTAATTCTATTAGTGAGAGGCAGTATAGAGTTGGGAAGAATAATCCAGTCTATCACTGAAAAGTGTTATGAACTCCCTTCAGGGCCCAGACAGACCTGGCTTTGAAGCTGACCTCTGCTACTAACTAGTTGCCTGAAGTTTTTCCTTGTCCAAATGGTCTGTGATCCAGTGCAGTCCTCCCTATTTATTTGTTCAGTTATTCTTTCCTTATTCATTAAATATTTAAGGCCTTCTGTGTGCTAGGGACTGGAGAACAAAACAAAGTTCCCTCTCCCCTGCATGGACCTTCTGTAGTCCAGAGGGGGGACATGGTCAATAACTCATTCCATAAACGGTTGTAATTGTAGTAAGTGCATGAAGTAGGAGCTCAGTTGCTGTGAGGACATTTACCAGGCAGCCTGACCTGAGCTAGACTCGCTTGAGGAAGCTAAGTCCTAGGGTGAGTGGGGGTCAGCTAGATGAAAGGTGGCAGAGCTGTCTGTGCAAATGCCTGAAGCAGGAGGCAGCACAGCATTTCTGTGGAACTGAAGGGAAACGGGGAGCCTGAAGCATGGAGGTCAGGAAGACAGAGAAGGGCCTAGGACAGAAGCTAGGGCCAAAGTTAGGGCTGACTCACGTTGGGCCTTTGAGATCAAGTTCACCTTTCCTTGAAACCATCAGCCCACGAGGGTCAAGCATCCTCCTTGGCGTTTACATTGTACTACTCTGCTTTCCCTACTGGGTTATTCAGTCCTTGAGGCCAGGAGCCAGGTCTCTTCTATGTTTATCCTTCCTGCCTTATAAACAGTAATGGATAATGTGCAGAGTCCATTAAAGTCCTGGTGTAATCCAATTTCACCTACGGGTTACCCAGGCTTATGGCGCTTTCTTTGTATGTTCGGTTTGGTGTCGTTTCCTTCAGCAGATACTTGCTCATCACCTTCCTCATACCAGGTTGCAGACACGTCTAAGGGAACAAGAACGTGGAAAGAACTTTTCTGCTGCAAATACCCTGTCTACTCCTGGGGTTGAATTAATTGAATAGGAAAAAAAACTGACTATTAATAAGTCAAGTAACTATTTGAAGTTACCTTTTCTTTTTTAAGACAAGGCAATAAAATGTAGGATTGTGGAACCACACCAGAGGTTTTAAAACCCAACTCTGGACATCTCTTTTTAACCCTGATGAGTAACTGGTATTGGACCAGCTCTCCTACCATAAACAATTATGCAACTGGGTAAAATACATAAAATGACTCTCTCCGTCAATGAACAATGGAAAGACTGTGGTCCTAGACAGAAAGGAAAGAAAGAATGTCCCAGCCCATTGCATGGAGGCACTTTCTGGCCCATGCCAGAGCCCATGAGGAGCCCAAGGAGATGTTCTTGGGCTTGATGAGCTAAGGAAACTGACATCCAAGTTCAGAGCAGCTAAGGGAGCTGGAACGCACAGGAGAGTGTATCAGACATGCAGGAGCTGAGCAGAGAAGTAGTCTGGGCAGGACCTGAGTCTTTGACCAGATCAAGCTGCATGAGCTCAGGGCATGACTCTGTAAGCCTGGGCAAAAAAGCACCGCTGTCTGCTGTGAGCCGAATGGAGATTCCAGAGCTCCCCCAAGGCCAGGAGACATTGGAATCCCATCTATCCAGAATGGAGCATCCTCACTGAACACCCTGAGCCCTTAGGTGACACTCCAGTAAGGTCAGAACTAAGCATAAAAGCTGAACTACAGAGATTCCAGGAGAAAGCAGCACAGTAGTCTTGTGATAGGCAGAGGTTTCCTAGGGCCCAGGAAATACTGACCATAAGTGGAAACAATGGATAACTTGGACTTCATCAAAACCTAAAACTTCTGCTTCCCAATCAATGCCATTAAGAGAATGAAAAGACTGGCCAAAACCCAGAAAACACTCACAGTATGTCTGTTTGGCAAACAGCTATTATCAAGAATCCATAAACAACCCCTACCACTCAATAATAAAAGGACAGGCAAGGCTTTTTTTTTAGGGGCCAGAGACTTGTGCAGACATTTATTTCATAGGGAAGATCTGTAAATGGCCAGTGCACACATGAAAATGCTCAACATCCATGGCCTCAGGGAAATAGGAATTAAAAACCATGAAGATATATCACTACATACCCACTAAAGTGGCTCAAATTAAAAAGACTGACAGGGCTAAATGTTGTCAGGCTGGGGAGCAACCAGAGCTCTTGGTCTGCTGCTAAAACAACCACTTTGTAAATCAGTCCAGCAGGTTTTCATGAAACTAAACCAATCTAATGACCCAGAAATCCCACTCGTAGATGTTTACCTAAGAAAATGAAAATGTATATACTCTAAAACACTTACAGAAGAATGTCCGTAACAGCTTTATTCATAATAGCCAAAATTGAGAAATAACCCAAATAGCTGTCAATGAGACATTGAATAAACAAATCGAGGTTTTTCATACAGCAAAAAGGAACACACTCTTGATACTTAACAATATGGATGGACTTCAAAACCATTATGCTGGGCAAAAGAAGCCAAACACCAACAGGTATAAACTGTGGGATACCATTTGTATGAGGTTCTAGAATAGACAGAACTAATCTAGGGTTTTAAAAAGTGGTTGCAATAGGTGTTGTCCCATTGGGGGTGGGGAGTAGTGGGGATTGACTGGGAAGGGGCACACAAGCATGTTCTGGGGTGATGGAAATGTCCTATGTCTTGATAGGTGTATGCAGTGGTTAATCTGCAGTTTGTTGAAACACCCAACTGTACATTTGAAATCTGTGTATTATACTTTCTGTAAACTATCCTTCACCCTGGCTACACATTTGAATCATCTGGAGTGTTTTAGAAAATACTGATGGTAGGGCCCACTCTCAGAAATTCCTGTTTAAGTAGTCTGGGGAAAAGCCTAGACATTAGGAATTTTAAAACCTCTCTAGGTGGTTCTAATGTGCAGCCAAGGTTGAAAACTACTGTGTTGAAACTTGCTGAATTCCGGCCTTAGGCATGTGAAACTAAATGGTGGGCTGAGAGCCACTCCTAAGTAGGCTTACTGGCCGAAATTTTAGCAAGCAGAGAATCATTTAGGTCAGTGAAGTAGGTATGGATCTCTATTATTGAAAAGGTCAGAATTGGTGTTGAGTAATTATGCTTTAATCTTGATGTCATTAATATACCTAAATAATACCTTTTTTGGATCAAGCTACCACTGTTTAAAATATTTTGCCAATTATAATAAGACAGTAAGGTATTAACATTACTGCAGTTTTTTCTTACTGTTTACAATATTTGGTACATGGTAGATGCATAATACTTAATGAGTGAATTAATTAATGAGATCCAGATAGCTGTCTCTGTAGTGTTCTCATTGTTAAAATGGACTTATTTTGAATCTCTTTCTGAAGTCCTTTCTGTCTGGTGTCTTTTCCTGCTTTGCCTGCAACTTTTTTCCATTCTTTTAAATATCATTGCTTTTGCTACTATTGTCCCTTTCTTGAATCCCAGAGATTAGGTTTAAAGTTTAAGATAAGGAGAAAATAGCTACAATTCACAAAAATAGATTTTTCCTTTGTAAAAGGACCTACTTATTCTGGTTTCCACCGCCCCCGCCCCCAGCTGTTTTTCTGGTAGGTGACAGGTTTTGGCAAATGAATGAAAAAACTAACGTTTTCAAACTCCTCCCTGTGCCAGCACTATGCAGGGGATTAAGGGTGTGGTTTGTGATTCTAGAACACTGTCTTTTCTGTGGACAGTTAATGTCCCTGGCTTCATTGACACCCGTATGTGACTCACAGTTAATCTGCCAAGACACAGTGGGGCCTTCAGGGGACCAGTGGTAAATTACAGAGCTGTTCTAAAGCCCATATGAAAACTCCTGAGTCCCCACATTTGAAGAGAATCTGGGCCACCCAACAACTTCTTTGCACAAGGAATGAAGCTTCATTTGAGTACCACACTCTGTTATAGCTCACCCCCCACCTGTCCCCTCCAAATGAGTATCTATCTACACACTTATAAGTAGATTTTCTGGTTGTAAGTTAGAGAGTAGAGTTTTTTGGTTTAGGGAGCTTTTTTTAAAGTGAGTATACCTCTAAAATTAAGACTATCAGTCATTCTAATCTTATGTAAGTTTATTAAATGTTTTTTGTTATAATATCCTATTTGGAGATGTAAATTTCTGGTTTCAAGTGACCACACACATGCATGCTTGTAGCTATGGGGAGATATGGCTCTAAGATATCCCCTGTACGTTTGCTTCAGACATCTGTATATCTGGTGTTTCCCCAGAATGCTAGAGGGTTCAACATGAGCATCCCGATGCCTGGACACCCGGTGAACTTTTCCAGCGTCACCCTGGAGCAAGCCCGCAGGGATGTGGAGCAACTGGAGCAGCTCATTGAAAGCCATGATGTCGTTTTCCTGTTGATGGACACCAGGGAGAGCCGGTGGCTCCCTGCCGTCATTGCTGCGAGCAAAAGAAAGGTAGAGTGTGTGGATCCTGGGGCTCTCGTGTCTGGTTGGGACTTGACGTGCCATCACCCTGGAGGGAGATCTGCCTTCCCTCCAGAAGAGAGATGTGCTGTGGGTGACCTAGTGACATGGTCCCAAAAGGGTGCCACTGGCAGGCGCTGTCTTTGCCTCACACACCACTGTCTGGTATAATAGCTATCTTCTATTTAATTTTCACAGCAGCCCTTTGAGGTCCTCTAGTAGGGATATTTTACTTACATTAAAACGTAAGTTCCAAAAGGACAAAGACTGTCTCATTCACTATTGTTTGGTCAGTGACAACTTCAAGGGCCGACAGTACTGAGTGGTTAAATAAATCATAGTACATAAATATGATGGAATACTATGCCTTGTGGGGTGATTCCAAATACTGCTGTGCACAATTATGTTCTCAAAAACTTTAATAACATGGAAAATATCACACTATGTTAAATAAACAAGATGATATTATATATATTTAATATGAATTGTTCATATCTGTAAACATATAAACATTTATATTGTTTGGCAAGAGGGTGGGGAGGAGGCAAGAAGAAGGGAGAAAGAAGGGGCAAGAAAAGAGAAAGAAAGGGAGAAAACAGGAAGAAATAGCCAAAACTATTAGTAGTAAGTGTTTGAGCCATGAGATTGTGATTTTTGTTTTTTTTTCTGGTGAACCATTTATTTTCCAACTTTCTGTATAAACAGAAATTTAGGAGAATACGTTAAATTACAACTAAGAGAAGTTCTAGTATAAGTGAAAAAAAAAGTGTCCTTAAAAAATCTGCGTGAAGGTTGAATTGTATACTGTGTGAATTATATCTCAGTGAAGCTATTATTAAAAAAAAAAAAATGTGTGTTGGGGTGCCTGGGTGGCTCTGTCAGTTAAGCCTTTGGGTTAGGTCATGATCTCAGGGTCCTGGGATCCAAGCCCCGCAGCCGGCTCCCTGCTTAGCGGGGAGCCTGCTTCTCCCTGTCTCTCTGCCCCTCTCCCCAACCCATGTATTCTCTCTCTCTCTTGCTCTGCTCTCTCTCAAATAAATAAAATAAAAAATATATATATGTGTAGGCATGTCAGATGATAGCACAGTGGTGGAAAGAATGAGACTGAGAACTCTCAAGACTTGGTTTTATACATTTACCTCTTACCAGCTAAGTGACCTTGGGCAAGTTATAGAAGTAACTGCTCTGACTTTCATTATCCTCATCTGTAAATAGGAAAAGTGTTCTGGGAGTTTTAAATGAAACCAAATGAGATAATTAATGTTAATCACTGGTCAAGTGTTTTGCACTTAATAAATCCTCAGTATTGTGTAGCTTTTACTAACATTGCTTCTAGACTCTAATTACATTCATATGCAAATATTTATAAAATAAATTTTAAAAAGTTGACCAAATATGAAATTAGCCATGGCTTAAAATGTAAGTGTCTCTTAACTCTAGACTTTTATTCCTTGAAATCCACAGCTGGTCATCAATGCTGCCTTGGGATTTGACACGTTTGTTGTCATGAGACATGGCTTGAAGAAACCTAAGCAGCAGGGAGCTGGGGACTTGTGTTCTAGTCACCTTGTGGCACCTGCCGACCTCTTGGGCTCATCACTTTTTGCCAACATCCCTGGCTACAAACTTGGCTGCTATTTCTGCAATGATGTGGTGGCCCCGGGAGATGTAAGTGGATTTCTTTGTGCTTCCAAATATTTCATACAACTGTCTTGCCCACTGGGGCAAAGAGACCCAACTCTTTCTTTTGTGACTATTTAAATATTTTAACAAAGAGAAGAATTCTCTAATTTGGGGCTGACATTATCTCACCACGAGCCTTGATTGACATCAACTGTGCACAGGCTATTCCTTGTTCAGCAGCATAAACGCAGTGACCAACCATTTTTTGTGGAAAGCTCATCAGGGAGACTGCAGGATAGACTGGTCCCTGGAAGCACTCAGCACTGTCTCCTGTGCATGTATCACTGAAGAGAACATCAACTGAGGGGTCTGAAGACCCGGATTCCAATCCAGGCTTGGACACTGCCTTGTGGGGTGATTCCAAATACCGCTTGTGGGCTGCCTCTACTTCTGCAGAATGGGGCTGGGTCCCATAAGATTGTCAGATTTAGCAAGTGAAAATACAGGATTCCCAGTTAACTTTGAATTTCAGGTAAATAATATTTTAGTATGAATTTGTCCCATGCAGTATTCAAGACCTGCTCATATCAAAATAATATTTGTTGTCTATCGGAAGTTCAAATTCATCTGGGTATCTCATATTTTATCTGCTAACCCCCAGTAGGAGAGGAAAGAATACTTTAACCTGACTACTCATAGTGTAAGGTGGGTCAAATGTGAAAGTGCTCTGAACAGCAAGCAGTACACTGTTCAAATGTAAGATTCTGTGGTGTTATTGCCACCACACAAGGCACAGTCTGTAGGAATGGTCTTTTATCAGAACAGATAATCATTTCCAGTGAAACAAAGCATAGGTGTTTCCATACCCTTCCCTTCATTTTCCCCTTTAAACAAGTTTTCTTTAAAAACTTGTTCCTTAATAACTCCTACCTCTTTTGGATGACTGGCTTTTATGTCCTCCCTGTATAAAGAAAAAAAGATAAATATTCTCCATGTAAAGAAGGATGACTTGATAATCTTCATCAGTGGTTTTATAACATACAGCTGGTCCCGTTATTTCATCATTACTAACAAGTAGGATTAAGGGTCAATTACAGTAAAGTTCTATCTGTTCATAAGGTGAAAAATTCAGAGTCAAGGTTATCTCTAACAACCTCTTAATTTTCCTGAAGTTGGAAGATAAGAATTTCTTTGGTTGCATTAATGAAGGTTTGTGTTTGGAGCCATGTTGTAGCAAAAATACTTGTATTTCAGCCCAGGGATCACACTCAGTGTGACACGATGTCCACACTGTGAGAGGCCCACAGGAACTGAGGACTGCAGGAAAGGCAAATTATTGTCCCACATCACAGGCACTCTGAGGCATGGCTCAGTTAGAATGGCAGGGCAGAATCATTTGCACTATTCAAATGATTATTCTTTTCTGTCTCTCTGTCCCTCAACGACCAAGCACACTGGGGTTGATTTGAGTCAGTTAAAAGAGCACGTGATGCAACTCCATATATGGGGCCTCTAGGCCCCTAATCTTTAATTTGTTTATAACTGTTACTCCTTTTTAGCAAATTACCTCATTTAGTTACCTAAGTTGTATATCTTGTTTTTCTTGGTATTTGCAAGAAGTGGTATTATTTGAGGCTGAATGTTCTTTGCCCACAGTGAGCGAGCATCTGGTTATGTTACATGGCTTTAACATGGAGGAGGTTCGTGCTTCAGACAGCACGGTTGAGTGGACTAGAACTTTGAGCACACATCAATGATTGTTTCTCTCTAGTCAACCAGAGACCGGACCTTGGACCAGCAGTGCACTGTGAGCCGCCCAGGACTGGCCATGATTGCAGGAGCCCTGGCTGTGGAATTGATGGTTTCTGTTTTGCAGCATCCAGAAGGGTGAGTTTACTGTTTAGAGTTGGTCGTTTACACAAAGAAAGCTTTTTTGTCTCCCTTGGCCTTTTCTTAGCCTGACTCTTCTGAGAATTGTGTTGCTCTTCCTGTCTTCAAAAAAACAAGGCTGAAAAACCCAGTCTGATTCTTTGGCCTAGGGGAACTTGTCATGTGATCTTCGGGGTTATATCTCTGCATCCTTCTGGAATTGAACTCTCCTGGAGTTATTTGGTAACTGATAATAAGGAAGAATAAACATTTTGGTGGGGGCCTTAGGGACCTTCATGCTTTTATTCTGTTAATAGGTTTTGATCTCCTTAGCCCTGAACATTTGTAAGGCAATACATGAATCACATGTGATAGAAATTTCATTGGGTTTTATGTAACATCTTCAGCGACTTGGCCAAATAGGACTTTATTTTGCTTATGCAGCAAGAAGCCTAGAGGCAGGAAGTCCAGAGTTGGTACAAAAGCTTTGTTATGCCATCATGGACTCAAGTTCCTTCTTAACATTCACTCAGATACCCTTAACTTTTTTCCTTATGCTTGCTACCTTGTCATAAGATGACTACTCCACCTCCAGTGTTGCTTCTGTGTTACAGTTAAGAACATATGTCAGCTCCCTATTAAAGAGCTTTCTTGGATTGATTCTAACTCCTGTATCACATGGCCACCCTTTGCTGCAAGGAAGACTGACAAATATGGTTGTTTTTTCTGGGCACATTACCTCCCTGAATAAAGTTGTGGTAAGATTGATGTGGAGAATGGATGTTGGGTAGGCAAACAGCAGTGTCTTCACACTCATTTTTTAAAAATTATATATATATTTTAAACCCCAGAAGAGATTGTTATACAGTGGTATTCATTATGTTTGGCTGACATTTTCCTTTTTTGTTACTTTTCATTTCCTTCTGTATCTTTGAGCTTCCAGCCAAGGCTGTTATCCTTCTGCCAGAAGAATGCCCTTTATTATTTCCTTTAGGAATGTTAGTGACAAGACACTTCAGTTTTTGTTTGTCTGAGAATGACTTTATCTTCATAGTTGAAAGATATTTTTGCTGGGTATAGATTTGAAGATTGGTGGTAATTTTCTTTTAGCACATTGAGTATAATCCTGTTGTCTCTGGTTGCTTTTGTTGTTGTTGAGGAGTTGAGTGTTTATCTCACTGCTGCCCCTCTGATACAGTTTGTTTTTATTCCTCTTTCCCTGCCCTTAGTTGCTTTTTAGGTTTTCTCATTGTGTTTGGTTTTCAGAAGTTGGACTATACTAATACATAAATACTTTCGTATTTATTCTGGTTATGCTCTTTAATGCTTCTTGAATCCATGGCTTGATGCTTTTCATTTGTTGTGTAAAATTCTCAGCCATTATCTCTTAAAATATGGCTTCTGCCCCTTTCTGTCTTCTTTCCTTTTGAGTCTCTAATTGCATGTCAGAATCAACCTATGCCCTTTTCTGTATTTTCCAGTATTTTGTCTTTCTTTGCTTCAGTCTGCCAATTTGCTTTTGGCTTATCTTCCAGTTTTCTAATTCTTTCTTCTTCTGTGTCTAATATGTGTTAAACCACCCATTGAGTTTTTAATTATTTTATGGTTCAGTTATAAAAGTTCCATTTGATCTTATTTTATACATTTCCTAATCTCTTCTGAAATTGTGATTTTGTTCTTTTTCATTCCTTGAAAACATTTAATTATGTTTTTCTTTTATATCTTAGAAGGTATCTCCACTGTCTGGATCTCCTGTGATTCTGTTCCTCTTACCTATTGGTTTATTTTTCATTTGTTTGTTTGTTTGGCTTTTGGTTATGTATTATCTCCTCTAATACCTGGTATTTTTCCTGTTTTTTAGACAAAAACCTTTGATTATGGAAAATTTAAACATATATGAAAGAAAAAACATATGTAAAATAATAAACCCCATTATCTAGACCACCCAGCTTCAACAGTTACCAACATATGGCCCATCATCATTTATCTATATAGCTATCCACATTTTTCTCTTCCCACTGGTTTATTTTAAAGCAAATCCAAGATGTAGCATTTCATTCATAAAAATGTATCTTTTTAGTATGTATCTCTACTTTACATATAAAAATAAATTAAAAGTAATTCCTTCACATCACCTCATATCTAGTTAGTTTTTAAATTTCCCCAGTTTCTCAAATCTGCTTGGTTATTATTATTTATTTATTTATTTATTTTTTGCTTGGCTATTTTTTTACTAACTACTGGACATTATATTATATATGAAAAATTGCAGAGATGCTGTGATTTACATTTCCTCTGGCAAACTGCTAGGCCAAATAGATTAGCAGTCCTAGAATACGTAAGTCCAATTAAGGCTTGTCTATTTCTGGTTCACTCTTATTCCTAGGATGCAACCCCCATTGGTCCCAACCCAAAGTCTGGGATATTTTTTATGATTCCTCCTTATTGGCAAACCTTAAGCTGTGGTTTTTCCTTCCAGTCCATTTGTCCATATACCTGCTTCTGATCCTGTGTCCATATAACTGTCCATATAACAGCTTCTGATCCTATAGCCACTGCTTTTGGAGATTGGCAATCACTTTATGACAGAAAGTTCCCCTTGCAAATGCGTTGTTGACCTCTATGGGCTTCTCTCCTCTCACAGATATCTTGGCTCTATAATTCTTCCCTACTTTGGTAGCTGTCATGCTTTCAAACAAAGGTTTTAATACTGTATCTAGCTTTCTGTTTGTTTTCAGTGGTAGGTTGGTCATGACCACCTAGCCTACCAATGCCATACCAACTTTAAAATGTTTTTGTTTTTTTTTTAATTTATTAAGCACTCATAGTGTACTAGCTTGCATGTGAGAGTAAAGAAATGAGCAGGCTGGTACGTTTTGTTTCAACTTGACCTTGGCTTTAAGTAGTCTATATGTTTACCATACTGTATATGTGTTACATTAAAGATACAAAGCTTAGGGGCGCCTGGGTGGCTCAGTTGGTTAAGCAACTGCCTTCGGCTCAGGTCATGATCCCAGAATTTCGGGATCGAGTCCCGCATTGGGCTCCCTGCTCGGCGGGGAGTCTGCTTCTCCCTCTGACCCTCCTCCCTCTCATGCTCTCTCTCTATCATTCTCTCTCTCTCTCAATAAATAAAAATCTTTAAAAAAAAAGATACAAAGCTTAGCACAATTGTAATCTGGACACCCTATCTGCTCCAAGCAAGAAGATCTTACTTAATGACCTATAAAAAATAGAATTCATCTTGTAATAAATAGAAGTGAGATAAAATTAAATTAATTTCAAGAATAGAGCCAGTAATTTTAAGAAAGAAAGGAGGAAAGAAAAGAGGAGATGAGAAAGGGGTGAGGGAAAGAAAAGGAAAGGAAACAAAGAAAAAAGTAAAAGAAAAATGATTAAACAGTTTAAGATTCTCTCCATATCTGCCCAAGGCTCTGCTGCCAAGTGTTAATGAAGGCCGACTGAAGTCAAATGGATATTTACACCTGACTATCTGACAAATACACTGTAATTTGTTTTATTTGTCAGACACTTATTATATAGTGCTTACTGTGTGCTAGGCACTGTTCTAATCACTTTGCAAGAATAACTCACTTAATCCTCATAGCAAACATATCAGGAAAGAACTATTACCTGTCCCATTTTTGAGGGGAAAATTGAGTCATAGGGAGGATAAGTTGCTGGAATTCACATAGCTGGTAAGTGGTAAAGCTGGGCTTTCACTCAAGACAGTTTTGCTCCAAACTCTGTTTTTAATCATTCCGCTATGCTGTTTTTAACAAGGCAGGAGAGAATTGAATTTTTGAAAGATTTGTTTTTCCAATTCTCAGAGATTAACATTGAATATTCTATTTATTTTATGACTCAAGAGTTTTTCTACGCAATTGAAAAGACCTCTGTACAACGTTGGTAGCATACTTAGCTAGTCTAGGTGTAACAGTTAAATGAAAATAAGCAGCTTTTTTTTTTTTTTTTTTTTTTTTTTTACCCCCCCTCATCTCTGTCATCCCCCTGGGCCCCTGCCTTCTAAGTGTAGTAGTGTAGTGTGGCCTCCTGACAGGGCGAATCTGGGATAAAGTCTTGGAGAGCCAGTTCTGCCATGCCTTGCCACTGGCCCCTCTGTGTGCGGTGTTTGCCCTGGTTGTAGGCTGAAACCACGTCCTGTATCGAATGTCTTCTGTGCCATAAGGAGACATCACACTGTCATTCAGGAAGGAGTGCATCCGTTCTCCTGCCTAATTAATTTCTCATTGTTCTATCTCCTTCCTCCATTTCCGTAGCATTCATCTCACCTCAAGTTAAGGTTGGAAAGTTTTCCATTTCAAAATTTCAGTACAAAACTGTGCCCATGGTTTTTACAAGACTATCTCAGAATAAGGGAGTTAACATTAATCTGTTTATCATGTGCCAAACATTGCACTTGGCAGTTTGTCTAACTTATTCCTAATTTATGCCTCATAAAGGTCTTATTCCTGTTTTATAGTTAATGGACCCAGAGCAAAAGAGAAGTTAAGAAACTTGCCTGTGGTCATAAGCTCTGGCCTTTCCGACTCCAAAACTCAGGCATTTTTTTGTGTGTGTGCTCTTCTTCTTCTTTCCTTCCCATAGAAATTAGGTTTTCACTAGCTCGTGCTGTCCTGCAAGGGGCATTTTTGGTTATCCTTATAAATCTCACATAACCCCCCTCCAGATTGTTCTCACAGGTGCTAAACATAAACTTTTATTAAACGAGCACCTCTAATTGTTTTCTTTTTTCAGGGGCTATGCCATTGCCAGTAGCAGTGATGACCGCATGAATGAGCCGCCAACCTCTCTCGGACTTGTGCCTCACCAGGTTAGTGATTTGGAAATGAAATCATAATTCTGGACCTGGTCCCGGTGGTTCAGGGGGAACACATGTGGGGTCACTTCACCATACCATCAGCTCAGCCCACCACTTTTCCACCCTCCTTATTCTCCAGCTGCCTTGAGTTTCAGGGGGAGTACTTTAAGACTACCTGGCAAGTATCCCATTCTGCAGGGATGGTGATGAGGAGAAACCATGAATAAGCTACATCACCCAGAGTCTTGGACGCCTTTAGCATGTTGACTAGAGGTCTCGTAATGGAGAAGAAGCAGCAAGAACATACTCTGGAATTGGCCCAGATGACAGTTTAAATCCCAGCCCTGCAGTTAATTAAGATGGCCTTCCTTGGCCAAATCCCTAAACTTGTCTGAGCCCTTGTTTTCCCTTCTATAAAATGGAGACAGTAATGCTGCCCTTGTGCTGTAGTTACAGAGATTAGAGACAATGGGTGCAGAGGGCTCAGCAGTGGTGCCTGGCGTGTCATAGGCCCTCAGTGAAGGATGCTTGCTATTTTTGTTGCTGTTCTTTATTATTGATTCCTGAGCCACATAAAGGCCTATGGGCATGCATGGGAAAACCATTAGAAGTGTCAAAAAGTAGGGCCTCTTTTCAGAAAAAGAATCTGAAGTATCATGAGGAAGATCTAGCCTATAGAGAGGGAAAGAGAAAAAAAGTGGTAGAATGAAAATTTCAAATTCATGTTGCCTTGTCACTAGTTTTTGTTACTGTGTTTTTGGAGGAATGAAGACGTTTTCCAGTCTTACTTTCTGGAAGTCATTTCTGTAGGTGCCATCTGTGTATTTCAGTGTGTAAGAGGTAAGCTGTCTCCACACGGGAAGCGGTGACAGTGCCCAACAGTCCCATCTGGGGCTTGTGAGGACAGGCTCACAGCCGAGGGCAAGAGCAGGATGGCCCACTCAGCGCATGTTGTCTCCCCCTGCCTCCGCACCTCCTGCCTCCTGTCATCCAAGACAGCCCTATCATTTTCCAGTTGACGGTTTGAATCAGAAGAGGGGAAATTATTTGCCCACAGTCACAGAGAGGTAATAGATGAACCAAACGTGAACCTAAACTTGGCACGCCTACTGGTGCTCTTCGTGAGGTGTCATGAGTGAAACTTCATTGCCCATTGGGAGTGTTACCTTCAGGTCGCTACTCCAGCCCTCCTGCACAAAGTCGCCTGTCAGACACCTTGTGTTAGGTCACTTACCCTCCCAGAGCCTCAGTTTCCTTATCAGTAAAAGCAGGTGCCTTACCTTGTGTCCGGGATGACGTTTGTGATGAGGCTTTGCAAACCATAAAACACGGTGCAAATGTGGCTTTTCCAGTCTGTCTCACAGACTGTGTGCCACTGTGTGGCATTTATTTGACATGAATGTGTTCATCTTTTTATAGAAACATTTCAGGCAGGACCCAACAGACACTGTAATAACCCTCCATCATAAGCAAGCTGTCTTCTAGAGCTGACCTCTGCTGTTTACGCTCGAATCTCATTTGAATCCCCACCCACTTCCCTGCTCCACATGGCTCTGTCCCTTTCTTCTGACCTTGAGATGTGCTCTCATTGCCCTTACAGATTTCATACTGAGAAGGGCCTTAATTAAATTTTCAGTCATGCCCCTATATTTCTCTCCTTCTTTGAGTCCTTTATGTTAAATCACCACAGCTGTAGTTTTCTTAGTGCTGAGGCCAGAGGGCAAAGCAGTCTCTTTATAGAAAGGGTCCAGTGTCAAAATGCATGTACCCATGTTTTTAAAATACTATGGCAACTAATCCCTCTCAGTGTCATTTACCCCCATTGAGCCTCGCAATTGTTTGTCATTCACCAACTCTTCTAGTTCTTTCTCCTTGTTTTCAAATGTCTAAAGGATTATTTTGGTTGTTGGCCATCTCTTCATTTGGTCTTTTCGAAGGCTGAAGAATAACCCAGCCATATATGGGAAAAGCCCAGTGCTTGTGTGTGATTAGTTGCTTACATTATTTCAAGTTTCAAGCCTTTATTTTTAGCTACTATCTAAAAAAGACAGTGGAGAAAGAACTTTAAAATTAATCAGGGTTGTGTGGTTCCTATTTATAGGCTTTAAATTTCTTCTTCTTTTTAAATGGAGTGAGTCCATTTATGCAACTGTGTTTTGATTAGGAGAATATCGTTTCCACAAAAACACTGGGCTCTGTTGCAGTGCCGTGCTGCAGACTCAGCACTTCCCTCCTCCTCTTCCTGGCTCTCCAGATTTCCTCTTGGAGAGGAACTTGGTAAACCCCTATGTGTGCCTTGCATATAAAGAAGACCCATGAGTTCCCTGGGCTTGTTTTTTTTCTGTTCCCCGAAGGAGAGTGTGTGTTAATTGGCCCCTGTGGAATGAGCTGTAGTAGAAAAGTGATAGCCCTTGGATAGGAATCACAAGGCCCACCAGCAGCAGCTCATTGTGTAATCTGGAGAAAGTTGCTTAACTTAGCCTGTGGGCTCTGTGTCTCTGCTTTCCCTGTCAGATCAGGGAGGCCTGAGGATGACTTAGTTGATCTGCCTGTGGGACCACAGGCAGAATTTGGCCCATCCAGAGATTGGCCAAGTGTAAGAAAAGGCTTGATTAGGTCCTGATATTCATGACAGTCAGCCTGAAAAGAGCCTGACTGCTTTTGAAAACCATGAGACCGCCATTTGAAGGTAGAAAACTAGGCTTATGGGTTTATTCTTTTTTAAAAGTGTCTGGCCCAGTGTACATGGATGGGATTCTGCAAGCAGCCCGCAAATGAGCATAACCCTCTTCCGGTCTGTATAAAGCGCATCAAATCCTACAAATCATTAAGTGTACAACTTGAATTATCACAAAATAAATACTACTCATTTTTTTTAAAGATTTAATTTATTTATTTGTCAGAAAGAGAGAGAGAGCACAAGCAGGGAAGCTGCAGGCAGAGAGAGAAGCAGCCTCCCCACTGAGCAAGAGCCCGATGCAGGACTCGATCCCAGTTCCCTGGGTTCATGACCTGAGCTGAAGGCGGACGCTTAACTGACTGAGCCACTCAGGCATCCCAATAAACACCACTCATGTACCCAGCACACAGATCAAAATAAAATGTTATCAAGCATCCCCAAAGCCCCCTTCATGCTTCTTCCATTTATTATTGCATCCTTCCTACACAGAAGCAAGCATCCCTTGACCCTCAACACTGTGGGAGACTTTTGTCTAATTTTGAACTTTCTGTAAATGAAATCATATAGTATAGTAAACTCTTTGGAGTTTGGCTTCTTTTGTAGAGAGAACTTTTTCATTGCAGATCTTAGCATAGTATTGTTCCTTTGTGCTTTCCATCCAGTGGGATCTTACCAAAAAAAAAAAAAAAAGGAAAAAAAGAAAGAAAGTTGTCTTTTCCTGGCTCCTAGGGTGGTGGCTGAGTTCCATGAGGTCAGACTGTTTTTCTGGTTCTTTGGTGCGAGGCACTGCGAGGCACTGCTCAAGAGTTAGAAAATGTACAGGCCACTCCTGGTATCTCCAGGAAGTTGGTTTTGCAGGTTCCTGAGAGATCCTGATGTGACGGAAATTGGCAGCCTGTGGGAGCTGCTGATCGTTTGACTGGACCTCCCTCAGAAAATGAAAACCAAGGGGGCAATACAACAGTCCTCCAAACACCACGGTCATTAATATAGCGGTCAGCTTTTATCCCACTTGTGGACCAGGCAGTTCACATTTTTTGTCTTCGGGTGAATGTACTCTTGGCTCTCAAGTACTAACGAATAAAGACCCTGAATGCGTATGCCCTTCCTAGGAGTTTGGACTTGCCAACCCCATGGTTCTCCTGGGCTCTTGAATTCTTTCTTTTAATTACTTTCAGAAAAGCAGAACAAAGGCGGAACTAGGGCAGGACCCTGGGAGAGACCTGGCCTGGGAAATCTCTGAGACAAGTCCGAGATAGAGCACGGGTCCCTAGCCATGCCTTGGGTTGCTAGCTATCTGGCCTGTCTGCACAGGCTGTGCCCCCACAAATCATCAGGCCTTTAGCTTTTAACAAGCTCTTTTTACTTTGCTCAGAAATGCTTATCACAGTGTGCCTCTAGGGATGTGGATGGACTGACTGCTAAGGAAAGAGATTAAGAAGATAAGCAATAAAAGCCCATTTCCTGAGATGTAGCCCAAGAAAGGGAGTCTCCTTCCCCCTCTGGTTCTATACCCTTCCGATTGATGATAATGGGAATGGCAGGAAAAACAGTCTAAATGTCTGCTGTTTCTCCATATCAGATGTTATAGTTTGTGACCTGTCCATCCTCCGAGACCCCCTTCCATTCAACCATCCCTTCAGCAGATGATTCCCAAACATTGTGCCAAGCACCATGATGTTCAGAGAAGTTAAGTAACTGGCACAAGGGCACCCAGTATTTATTTCCATACCCCCAAGCCATTTGGATGTGGTGGAACCTCATTACAGAGGGAGGCCCCTGAGTAGAAGGAGGGATCTGGGTACAAGATCTGACAATGTCGGTGCTTTCTGTGTTGGAGCCCTAGAAGAAGAGAGGGTGATAGGTCTTCCTTGGTGCATGACAGAGGGGATGAGTTACACGTAGTGCCAGAGTTCACATGTGTCTTAGAGAGCATGTCTTGTCCAGAAGACTTGGGCATAAGTTTATCAGTTCAAGGATGTTACTTGTGCCCCACGAGTTTTGCTCACCTAAGGAGGCCGTCCTATTTGAAAGGTCCTGTGTGGGAGGCAGCCTGTAGGCTTTGTGTTATATAGATCTGATTAGAATCCTAGGTTTGTTTCTTAATTACATTTTCATCCATTCATTCTTTAGCTTCTTTTACAAAAGATTTGAGGCAGTTCTTGTCACTTGTTACTGTGTGGCCTTGGGCAGGTTACCAATCCTTTCTGAATTTCATGTTTTATACAAGTAAAATGGGGATAATTATATAATAAACTCCTAGAATTAACATACAGATTATATCACATTTACTAAGCACTAGCACAGTTCTGGGCACATAAGAGATACTAGT